CTGCAGGGGCCCTTCCTAACATGCTAATGCTTAGGAGGAGGGGCCTGGCTCAGTTAACCTTGCTGGGAGCAATGCCGCATTGGAGAAAGAAGCTTCTCGATGAGTGGATGAGCGCGTTGTGGGTGGGAGGGTCTCGGTGGGCTCATCAGCACCCCTTCAGAAACCAGGCGTCATTTTAGCAGGAAGGAGGGAAATCACTTGGAGAAGGGAGGCACGCAGAGGAGACAGGACTGTTCGCTTCTCGGGACTGTTTTGGGCCAAGCTTCATAATGAAGAGTTGCTGAAATGGCTTCATGCAAGTTGCAGCCAAGTCTTGATTTCACTCCCATCTTGTCTAAAACGTGAAGGCTCTGAGTCCTAGCCCATTTTACATAAAATGATGAGAGACACTGATAGAAGAAAAAGCAGCTCACATCCTGCAGTTTCCTTTTTGTCTGAGGCTGCTCGGCTCTCTCTGGCTCACTTCTGGGCCATTCTGTTCTGAGGTGGGGTCTGTGCCAGCAAGGCACATCCCCAGTACCTCCCAGTGGCGCCCCCAGAGAGGAAGTCGTCCATCAGAGGCCACCGTAGGCAGGTGAAATGTTTTTCTAATTGCCACTAGGAAAAAGCCAGGGCCCAGGGGATTCTCCTGCCCAAGGGAGCCCCTCCCTGGTCTAACCTAATTTGTTGTGTGCATGTGGAACAGACGGGTAGAATTCAACGGTCTGAGGTGTTCCGGTCGGATTGTTTGAAAAATATCTGGGCTCCCGGAAATGTGAGAAGTCTTGTTTCTCTGAGGACCGTCCCCTTGTGGTTCAAACGTGGGTCGCTTTAGAAAGTGAAACTCAGGCCAACAGTGACTGAGTGGGGTCTGTTTTCCTCCCCACATATCGGGGTGCTCAGGAACGGGAAGGCGGGGAAATGCTTGACGTAATGCCTGTTTGTGTTTTGATCAATGTGGCTCTAACGTAGCAGGACAGGGGACAGAAGCTAATTAGCCATCGAAGAAGGTGCTGGCTTTCCAGCCACCCCGAGGAATGGGCCGCCCTGACTTCCTGTGCAGCCGCACACATCATCTGCACACATCATCTGCACATCTGGCTGCAGACAGAGGCCCAGGCCAATCTGGGGAGGCTGCCCGGGGCTGGCGGGGTGGGGGGCAGGGCCAGCGAGCAGGGCAGGAAGAAGAAACTGTAGGTGAGAGCTGTGTTCTGGGGCTTTCTCTCTATACAACAAACTCTGAGATACAAGAAATAAATACAGGCCTCCTCTGAACTTGTGCCCTGGGGACGTTGGCCCAAAAACAGATTCTTACCAGTCGTAGGTCCTGAACAATCTTGAAACGGAATATACTGCTGTGGCCATGAAGACTAGCAAGATAATCTCCCCCACTTCACCCTGGACAAAAAGCAGTGCCTGTGTCCACCTGGAACGCTCTGTGATGTTCTATTTGCTGAGCTTCAAGGAAAGTCAAATGAGGTTGGAGCCAGATGAGAGAACAGTGGAAATAATCAAGGTCCACACTCCTGCATCCTTCCCATGGGGAGCTCCTGAAATGTCAGGTTCCAGAGGAGGAGTGTTGGCCTGAATCGCATGTCCCTTCCAAGTCACCTGTGGGAGCCTAGTCCCCAGGTCCTTGGTATTTGGAGAGAGGAGCATTAGAGGTGACAACGTTAAAATGGGGTCACTAGGCTGGGTCCAAATCCAATGAGACTGCCGGCCTCACAAGCAGGATGAGACACTGACTCAGGACACGGAACCAAGCAGGGAGGCCTCGCGATAAACCAACCCTGATCTTGGACTTTAGCTTGCAGAACTGTCGGAAAATAAATTTCAGGTATTTATGCACCCCTCCCCTGCCCCTCCCCACCTCCAAACCCCCAAGGCTGCGGTATTTGGCTTTGGCAGCCCAAGCAGATGAGTAAAGTTATGACCCATCTGTGATTTCAAGTCAGGGATGGACTCAGAAAGGGTATGAGCGTCTCAGGACGCATCTAGGTCAGACTTCTAGTAAAGTCTGCATGCAACTTATGCAAGAATTCCTGGGATACTTTTCAAAGAGCAGGTCCTGGGGCCCTTCTGGACGGAGAGTGTCGCATTTTCTGGTAGGAGGCCTGAGAATGAATCTTTTGCTCAAACTTCGAGGCCCAGGGGGCGTGGGGGAGTCCAGAGGGCCCCCCGCCCCTTGTCTGGGCCGGAGTGGTTGGAATTAACCACAGCTCAGTGAGGGCTGAAGCTCGGTGGCCCAGGAACTGGCCCCTGCCCCTGTGGGCTTGCTCTCCAGGGACCCCAGTCGGGTTCACCAGCATGTGGGGGACGGTCAGACCAAATGGACTCCTGGGGGCTCTTGATGCTTGGAAGAAACATGTGCTTACCGATCTTCTAAAGGGTATCATGCCATAATCTGAACAATAATCCACAGAACACATGTTCTCTCTCTCATGAGATTTATTTAAAGATGTTATTACCTTGGCACCAAAATCTCAGAGGCCGACAAGGACCGGGAAGGCACCTCCACACCAGCTGAACCCACCTCCATGCCCGCTCTGGGTCAGGGCTGAGCCTCCCCCTGCCCTCGGCAGTTAAAACCTAACATCAGTGATGGAGACAAAAAACATCTACACAAAAGGACGACTTAATGATAATAAGAGGAAGGAGTCTAGTGACCGCAGCCAGGTGCCATGCTTTCATTTATTCTGTCATCTCCAAAGAACAGGGGTGGAAAGTCTTCTCTCCCTTATTATAAGGTGAGCTTCCCTTCCCTCCTTACCAAGACAGCAGAAGTGAAAGAGAAAGGAGTGGGTAAGAGAGGGGTGAGTGAGAAGCCAAGCAGTGAGAAACATTTTCAAAGTAGGCAGGGTCGTGGCTTTCTGCTTAAATAGGACAGTTCACCAGGGACAAGTGAAAACTGCCCCACCCCCTCTTACAAATGTAAGGGATAAAGCAAGATTTCATACGTTTATTGATCTTTTTAAGTGAAATTTAGGCCATTAGAGAAGATTCCCCAGAGCAGTTCACCGGGCCCCCTCTCTACTTTCCAGTGTCCAGCCCTGACCGGTATCCCCCGAGTGACCAGGGGACCTGGGCCGCCCACTTTGAGCCCCGCGGCCCCTGCCTAAGAATCTCCCCTGCTGGGCTGATCAGACCCCTCAGGGCCACCGGAGTCCTGTCTCCCCGGAGGGGGTTGCGGCTGGATGGGGGTTGGGACTGACATCTTCGCTCCAGGTGCTTTCCAGAAACCAGCCTTTTGGCGCTTGAGCTGGACTGATTTTCAGCTGGCCACTTCCAGGCCCCGGGGAGGTGCCCAGGACCCCACCCGGGAGCCGCCGGTTTCTTCGGGGCGGGGAGGAGGACTTGGGGGTCCGGGGCGTGGGGGCGGTGGCTGCCCCTCAGGCCGGTCCGAGGAGGGGGCGCTGGACCCGAGGCGCGCGGCTGGGGCCCAGGGCGCGCGCCCGGGACCCGCGGCCGCCGTGGGGCTCCTCCGGCCTCCGGGGAGCCTCCGGGGGTCCGGCGGGCGGGGTCGCGGCCTAGGCCAGGCGGCGGGTCCCGCCGCGCGGGGGGGCGCGGGTGCGGGCGCGGCCTCGTTAGAGGGCGCTCGGGGGCGGCTCCCTGCGCGCCCGCCCCGCGCGCGCCCTCCCGCCGGCGATCGCGGCCGGGCCGGGCCAGCACCGGAGCCGCCGCCCGCGCCGCGGGACCCGGCGGGCGCGCCGCCGCCGCGCGGGCCCCGCCGCTCCTTCCGCCGCCGCCGCCGCCGGCCATGCGTCCTTCCGGCCCCGCCGGCGCCCGCCGCCCGGCCGGGGGCCCCGCCAGCCTCAGGTAACCGCGGGCCGGGCGCGGGGCGCGGGGGGCCGCCGCGCGGGCGCGGGCGCGGGCGGGGCGGGGGCGCGGGGCCGCCCCCTCCGGACCCGCCCGGGTGACAGCGGCCTCGGAGCCGGTCCTCCGGCCGCGGCCGCCGCGAGGGGAGCAGGGCGCCGCCGCCGCGTCCATGACCGCGACCCCGCGGCCGGGGACACCCGCCGCCGCCGCGCTCGGGCCCGCGCGCGCCGAGGTGAGCCGGCAGGCGCCGCCCGGGGCCGCCGCGGTCCTGCTCCTTCCCCGGCGGGCGCCGGTGGGCTGCGCCCCCAGCCCGGCTCCCGGGGCCCGGCCGGCCCCGACCCCGGCTCCCCAGCGACCACCGCTGCTGGCAGGCCCCGTTCCCAGGGCCGGCGCCCCGCCGCCCGCGGCGCCCCCAGCCCTGCTCCCCACCGACCGGCCCACCAACCGCTGACGCCCCCCCAGTGACCTCCCTCCCAGCCCCCGGCCTGCTTATCCCCGGCCCTGCTCCCCACCTTCCTGACCCCCCAACCTCTTGATACCCCTTGTAGGGCTGCTCCCCACTAGCCCATCTCCCCGATAACCTCCCTCCCTCCCCACTTCTCCCTACCGGCCTCCACCCAGCTGATCCCCTGGCCCTGCTCCTGCCGGCCCCCTGCTCCCCACCTACCTTGCTCTGCTATCGCCCAGGCCGAGCTGATCCCCACCGACTCCTGCTCCCCACCCAGCCCCCTCCTCACCCCCGCTCCTCACCGGGCCCTGCCGCCCCCCCACCTCGCCCCTCGGAGCTGTCCCCCTGGCCCTGTACCCACCCCTCCATCCCCCTCTCCGCGCTGGTCCTCCCTGGCCTTGCTCCCGCCAAACCCAGGGAACCCTTTACCGCCGACCCAGCCCGCTGTCAGCTGGCGCCCCCCCCACCCCCGCGGTCCTTGGCCCTCCCCGCTCTCCCTCCCCCGCCGGTCACTGTCACCCGCTGCCCTCTGGGCCCGGCCTGGTGAGCAGAGGGACCTGCACCCGGAGCCCGGGCGCCAGGACTCGGTCGCCGAACCGGGTGTGCGGGCCGCGGGGAGGGGAGACTGTGCCGGCGCCCGCACCCTTCGCCGGGACCAACCCTGCAGCCCGCCGGCCCGGCTGTCTGTCCGCGTGGGCGCGTGTTTCCAGGCGGCTGGCCCAGTTTTCTTTCTCAATGAATTTTCCTTTCGCCCCAGAAAGCCGGCGCGGACCCCGAGGTGAGCATGGCCGTGACCGTGGACGCTGCCCCGCGGCTGGGCTGGACCGTGCTGAGAGCCCTGCTGCGGTTCGCTTTCATGGTGGCCAACAACCTGGTGGCGATTTCCTCCTACATCTGCTATGTGCTGCTGCTGCAGCCCCTGCGCGTGCTGGATGCCAAGCTCTTCTGGCACCTGGAGGGGCTCATGTACAAGTGGCTGCTGGGCATGGTGGCCTCGTGGGGCTGGTACGCAGGATACACAGGTAAGAGCGCTGGCACCTTGGAGGTCACCCCTAGGGCTGAAGATGCTTAGAGGGTTGAACAGATACATGGAAAACACTTGTATTGATTTCCTCCCTTTCCATCCCAGTTATCTGCAGAAGTTAATTTCATAATCACACACTGATGAAATCCTCAAATACATTTTTCACGTGATTGACATTTCTTCAGATGGCTCTGCAGTGGCTGTATGGTGGCCGAGCCTGGAGCTCCTGAGGGCTTCCTGCAGGGAACAGGCTGCAGCTTCAGCCCAGGAGGCAGGGCTGCAAAGGATGGGGCTTCCTTTGTTGGGGGAGGGGGTTTGGTTCTTTGCCGAAGTGTGTCCTACCGTGTTCATATTTTAAGCCCAGCAGAAAGATGGCTCACTCTGCTGTTACATAGGTTTCTTTTGTTTGCCAGCATCGGTGTTGTAGCTCATAAATCTGTCTTTCACTATTAACTGTCAAAAAAAAATAAGTTTTGCCCAGGCTAAGCTCATTTATCTTGCACCTAACTCTAAGTGGGGTTCTAGCACTGCCTCTCCCTTGCTGGGAAGCAGGCACCCTGTGACTCTGAAGCAGACTCTTCAAGAGCTGAGTGGGAAACGGTGCGTGGCTGAACCTGTGAGCTTTGCACCCTGCCTCCTGTGAGATTCTGGACCATATTTATTTGACTTTTGGCTTCCTAAGATTTGCATAGTGAAGAAAGCATGGAGGTTTCTAGCGGTTATCTTGGATTTTTGAGGCTTTTATAGTAGGATTTCATAACTGTTAGGTTGACTCCTTCGTGATGAAGTCACAGAAGCTGCGGTCGCCAGGGCCAGGTCGGTATTTGGAGAGTGAGCTGGGCACCCCCACAGCACAGCAGTTCCCATTCGGAGGTCTGAGCCCTTCTTCCTGCTCAGGCCACATGTGCACTGGGTACAGTGCACCAGCCCAGTGCTGGCAGCCCCCACTCTCACGGAGGGGCCAGACCCTCGAACCCATGTGCCCTCGCTGCCCCCCACGCAGCCCTGCCTCCTTCCACAGAGCCATTTGTTACCTGCAAGGCCCGGAGCCTCTGGGGCAGTGCCCCGTGTCTCATTGACATCCCTGTGCTCTCTGGACACGGTAGGTGAGTATGCTATCTGAGGCCCTGCTCGTGGCAGCGGCAGTGACAGAGGAAAGGTGAGCCTCTAGTTTGGGGCTCTGTGTTGTCACCTGAGGTGCACGGTGGGCGTGGGGTCAGCTTGCGATGTGCCGAACAGGACTCGGAGCGCTCCTTTTCCTGCAGTGTACTGAGCTCAGCTTGCTTTAAACGCACTCCTAAAGAAATAAATAAATGATCTCTTGGTATTTTTAGATACAAATTCCAGAAATCCATTTTACTTAAACACAATGCAATTACTGAAATGTTTCTGCATTTGCATTTGTGCGTGTGGTATATCGTGTGAGGTGATGAGCAAAATGAATTTGGTCTTGACCTTGAGATTGTAAGGTGCGGGGCAGCGGCAGTGCTGCTGGTGCTCCATTGGTTACCTCCAGCCACAGCTCAGCCACAGTGGGCCTGGAGGAGGGGTTTCGGGGTGTCTCTGCCCAAGGTGTAGCATGGCACAGGCCACACCTCTTTGTGCCTCTGAACCACCTGCTCTTTTTCAGTCTACACCGTTTCACCACTCGACCGGTTTGTCTCATTTGAATGTAGACTCTGCTGTGTGGTTGTCAGCGGTTGTCCTGCAGGTGCCATGCGTGAGCCCAGAGGGCCGATTAAGGCTGGTGGCTTCCAGGGAGGCCGTGCTGGGCCAGGAGTGTGCGCCCTAAGAGGGCCTGGGATGAACGGCCTTGCTGGGGCCTGTGTTTCGTGTCTCCCTTTTGCATCAGAAGCAGGTGGGTCCCCTACCCCCTCCCTATGCCCGAGTTTCACAGGTGGGAAGTTCATTCCCACCAGAGGGATTCCACTTGGCCATTAATCATGTTTCAGAAGAAAAATTGCCAGACTTTGTGGAAAACACACTTCTGAGGAAACCTTAAATATTAATTAGGAAGCTGAAAATCGAATATGGAGGTGGAGCTTCATCCAGTCGTGCCCTGGGTCTGAGTCCAGGGCTTCTCAGCTCTGCTGCTGAGGCCTTGTGGTCCTCCGGGACCCCCGCCTGCTCATGGCCATTTAACTTCACACCCACTGAGTGGAGCAATGTTTAGACCCAGTCTAGGCCACACCAACCACCTTTTAAGTCCTCGGTGCCAGGCGGCTGGTGCTGCTGGACCAGGCAGTGCCCACATAAGCCAACGCTTGTGTCGTCCTAGAACATTCTGTGGGTGGGTCTTATACACAGGAAGCATGGCTTGCTTCTCTTCCTTGGGAAAAGTGCAATTTCTCTCGATCAAAAGAGTATTTTTCTAGACGTCATTCTAAACAGATTTCCTCAGGGAGAAGGATTTATTAATATTTTATAAAATTGTCTCTTAAGTGGAGGTAAATGCCACAAAATGAGTCCTTTACTTTCTAGACCTGCTTCAGGGTGGGAGTGCTGAGTGGCAGGCCCAGAAGCTCAAGGGTGCTGCCTTGGGCCTTCTGGGCACTGGAGCTCCACTTATGCACAGGGAGATAGGGGGCTCTCTGGGGCCCCCAGGGTCCGCCTGCTTGTCACCTGCATGCTCACTGCTGGCCAGAGCCTGGGGACGCGGGCTTGGCTCGTTCAAGCGGTGACGATCTGCGTCCGCCCTTGAGCGGGGCTGTGGGGACCCTCACGCTGAGGGGCAGTGCTGGGCTGCCTCCGCCCAAACACTTCAAGGGTGCAGGGAGAGGCCAGCACAGCCGGGATCACCGCAGAGCGCTCACCCACGCCTTCCGTGCATGAGTCAGGACCCCCCCAGCCCCCCAATTCAGTGAAGACTGGCCAATTTCACAGTTCTTTTTTTTAAGCAACATGTATTTAATATGGTTTATTTTGATTTTCATTGACTTATTTTAATATCATTGTTCCCTGCCCAAACATTTAATCACTGTCTCTGTAGACAGAGTTGTTAACAAATACTCATTATGAGTGGAACTTCCAGAGTTTCTAAACAGAATGCCAGGCTCGTGGGTCAGCCTGGCTAGGAGAGGCAGAGGGGCCAGGGGCCTGGCACAGAGCTCTGAGTCTGGGCACATGCTCACTCTGGGTGTTGACTTGGGTGGCTTCAAGGAAAGCTGATGGCGATCATGCTCAGCCCCTACTCCCCGGCGCCAGCTGTGGAGCCATGCGAGTCTTTCTGGGCTATTTGATTATTGGACAGTGTTTATCTGGGATCCAGATGCATTGTGTGAGAATTAATTGTGTATCTGACCTTAAGTCCTAGAGAAAGCTTTTCAAATGTGTTATGGAGCAGTTTTTTTTCCACCTTTGACTCATAAACCAATTTACTGCAACAAGAGGAACATTTAAAAAAGTGAAATAGGAGAGAATTAACTAGAAACACTGGGGAGTGTGTGTACCGGCACCGGGCAGCATCAGAGATGGGTGCTCGGGGAGTCACTAGTGTCCAGAAGGCCTCATGGACTTAGGGGCGTTCTGGGGCTCACAGCTTCATTAGCTTGGACCTGAACATCTCCGCTGGGGGTAAGCTCCTCCCCTGCCCTGCACTAAGCCCCCTAGCTGTCAGCTGGTTCCCACAGAGTGGGGATCTTATGATATCTTACAGTATTGAGTGGATGTGGGGTGCTGCCCACCTCCCCGAGGCCTGGTGTCCGGCTGCTACAGCCACAAGTCAGGCCCCAAGCTGGCCCGAGCTGGAGTGTTTCTCACCCATGCTCACACTGGCCTTCTGGCACCTGCCCGCAATGCCAGCTGTGCACAGGCACACCTTCCTGAGCTGCGCAGGTGTGGGCCGGGGGCTGTGGGGGCACACGCCTAGGTGGGGAGAGGGTGCCCCAGCTCTGTGGGGTGCACTGCTCTCTGGGGGTGAGAAGAGTGGGTTGCTCTGGCCCAGGAGCCCGAGATGATTGACACCCCTGTCGGGCCAGCCCTGTCATCAGTGACTCGTAGATTCAAAAGCCTTGACTGGTTTGGGTTTGTCTCTGTGGTGATGAAATGAACTTGCTTTTCCCGCCACGCCAGCCTGGAGCACCCCAGTGCCGTGTGGCGTGCTGTGCAGGGACCCTCTCTGGGGTCCTCACGTTGAGCTGGAGGCCCAAAACAGCTACCCTGTTTTGGCTTCTCCCCCGCTGCGCATGGTGCCTGGTCTCCGAAGAGCTGCTCACTGCTGGCCTCAGCTCCGTGCGCTGAGTGTGGCTTGATTTGGGATTCCCCCCTTGCGTCTTTTTGGGTTTGGGGCATGAAATCTCTTTCCCACCTGGCCACTCTCTAGCCCCTGCAAGCAAGTGCCTAGAACATTTCTAGCCCCTGCAAGCAAGCGCCTAGAACATTCCTGTGGGAGAATGAAAGAAAAAGTTGCTTCAATGGAAGTCTTTGCCGCTGCTGCGAATTTCACAGAAGCCCACAAGCCCATAAGCCCATCTCTGCCTTTCCAGAGAATACTGCAGCTCAGGTCCTGAGCGCTTGACATACATTGTCCCGGTGTGGGGAGTAACCACCTGGTCCCAAGGCCACACCTTAATGGAGGTTGGCATAGACCCAGGCGAGGGGCTTTCAGTTGAGTGTTTTGACTTTTACATGGAAAACAGCCAAAGGTGGGTGTGGTTGGTTGCTCTTAGACCACAAGTCTGAGATCTGGTCTTATCTCAAAGACAGTGTGTAATGGACGTATTTATTTCAGGGAGTTTTACAAACAGCCTGTAAAGGGTCGATTCACACATAGGTGTCCCCTGTGCAGTTTCACCGGAGCAGGAGGGTCGATGGCGGTGCTGGCCCAGTCGCAGCGTGGGACCAGCTGGTGACAGTCCCCTCCTCTTTTTGTTTCACTGGCTGTGTATGTCTTTGTCTGCCCTCTGGCTTTCAGGCTTGTCACGTTACTTTGATTTAGACATGTCTTTAGTCGTCAAAATGGAATTAGGCTTTACTTTATGAGTCAATTTGAAAATCTCT